CATATGTATGAGACAAAACATCCCCAAAACAGCTGACTTAAAGAGAGAAATTACAAGGAAGATCAGGGCCATATCTCAATGTGTAAGGGTAATCAACAACTTTGCCTGTAGAATTCATGTTCGCCTACAAAGGAATGTACGTCATATATGTCATATGGAACAAATCTTGTAACGCTCATAAAATTTGATCCATTTGAGCTACACATCTGAAATGTCTTGAGGTCTTTACACATTATGTCTTCTTTAAATGTGCTAAATGACAAGTCTGTATGACCATAGACCAACAAGTTATGCAACGAAAGGTGGGTGTCATTTTTTTTTGAGTCGCCCTGTATTTATCATTCCTAAGAAGAGAAATGCAATCAAAATTGTGACATATGTTATTGACTATGAATACTCAAATGTGATTGCTATTTTTATAGCTAAAATGGATGCATGTCCAACACATTGTGGGACCACTTGTAGTCTGATTCTGAAAGCTTTTTAAAAATATTTATTTAGTCATGATCAATATACCTATAGCATTAGCTTGCCTATGAAAAAGGTACTTGAGAAAGTTTGTTTTAAGATATTTTTAAGTGTTCCTGTACAGTACTTAGTATTAACAATTAGACGATTCTATACAAACTTTGATTACTAAATTTTGATGACTGTATGAGAGCTGTTATTAGGTATATCATATACATTCCTGAATAATTTAAGATGTTGATTATTGTTGCTATGGATTGTGTGATGTAATACTACTAGATGCTGAAAATGTGAATTTACATGTAAGTGTGAATTGTGGATAGAATGTGGAGATTTCTGTAAGTTGTATTGCCAATTAAGAAATCGGTTCAGTACTTGATTTGTGCATAATTTAAGCTGAAGTTTATCTGTTGTAAATTGATTGCTGTTACATCATGTTAAGAATTACTCTTCGAAGCATGTAAAATATTGCCAATATTTTGAACATGCCAAACATCATTATACCATGTCATTTTTATACCATATTTAGAAAGAATGAAGCAAATTTTCTTTAAATCTCTGATTTATAATTGTAAACTAGAGTATCTGACACTTGTATCAAAATAACAAGTACTTTTTAGTTTATAAGTTAAATTTCTTAAGATGCATTCATTATCCCAAAGAACGAAGAAGAACAATATTTGCAGTTGCAAAGAATTAAATAATGATGTTACTTTTTAAGGAATACTGAGTCCTAGTGCATCTTGGTGTGTATAATTCAGAAATACCTTATTCTGTGTAATATTAGTTATGAGAAATATAATGAGATACTAAAATGCTAAGTGTTTTTATTTCATTTTATTTGTCCCACAAGTATAATGGCATATTGTACAGGGTGGCCACAGTGGAAAAGTAAAACTCCAGTGCATCCCAATAGACTGGAATAAGAACAAGGCATTAACATGACAAAATGTCACCACCTAAAACAATTTGGTCAATTTAAAGCACGTCAAACCTTAAATCTAAAGTCTGATTTGAACTTCAGAAAACTTGTAGATGATTTTGAAAAAAAAATTGTGCAATTTGAAGCAGAGTAAAAAAGACCGTTTTGACCTTGAGAAGGTCATTAAAGGTCAAATCGTAAATCTAAAGTCAGATTTGAATTCCTGAGAACTTGTAGATGATTTGGAAAAAAATTTTGTCAATTTGAAGCAAGTTGAAAAAAGACCTTTTTGACCTTTTTTTGTTGATCTTGAGAAGGTCATTGAAGGTCAAATCTCATATTTTAAGTCAGATATGCACTTCTAAGACCTTGTAGATGCTTCAGAAAAAAATTGAAGTCAGTCTAAACAGTATTTGTAAAGTTATTGAAAGTTGTAAGAATTTGTTACAGACCAGATACCAGACACCAACCGCCGTAACAAAAAACAGACCACGAGACCATAACAATATGTCACCACTTTTGGTGGTGACATAAAAACTGGAAATGAATGAACATTATCAATATATTCAATACGATTATTATCCCACCGAAAGAGGAGCTCATGTTATGCAAGGAAAGGTGTCCAATTCCAGCTAATTACACAGTATTTCATATAATTGCATTGCATAATACTAGTCTAATGCACCCAAAGTCATTTTTTATAACATCCATTTAACAATTTCAAATTGGCTGTTCACTCACTCACCTCTTGTATTTTCAACAAAAAAACAGATGGATGCACTGACATAGAAATGAAAGAATTGCAATTCAAAGTAGGAGTTAGCCATTTGGTGATATTTTGAAAAAACCCTTGCACCGACAAACTACCTGAAAACTTCCAACCACTTGAAAAATCATTACAATTAACAGCTTTACGACCAAATTATACAGAATTGTAAAACATCAACACTTCAGGCTTGATTCAAAAAATCTGAAAGCCTACTGATGTGAATAAGCTTATTCAATGGATTATTGTTGCAGTTCATGATTAATTTTATCTAACAGAAAAACCAGCAACTCTCTTGCCTCCTCTAATGTGTTAGGGGTTGATTTTCCACTTTCCTCCATAAGCATTTGGAATAATTCTTTGAAGTGTTCCTTGTTAGTTTCTACAACACAAGTATTGTCAGATTCTAACTGAGCAAATATTTCTTGGTCAATCTTTTGCAACACATCCTTATGTCCAAATTCTTCAGGGGCAAAGTACAGAATATCTGGTTTCCCATTAACTGAACTGACAGATTTTGATTTTTGAATATGGTGTGTATTCCACATTCTTTGCGTTGTGTCAAGTTCTCTTTGCAGTAGATCCATGTAACAATATCTCATACACTCAATGTCTAGTATGTTTGAATTGTCAATAATGCCAACATCTAACAGCTGGCGGCAGTGAGATATCCACATTGCTGCTCCATATATTGGAAATTTACTCCAGAAACTTTCTATTCTCTGGTTTGCAGTTGATTTTCCATACAGAAATGCAACTTTACATGAACAGTCATCATTTACAGAGCGTAGAACAGTTTGAAGCAGTTCAACCTTGACATTCTCAGTCCCCCGATCTGCGCGAACAATCTTTGGAATACCATTTACATTTTTAACACAATCGCAAAAGTATTTGCAAATTAACATAGAGTTTTTATTTGAAGATCCTGCTTTGAGCCACAATATTCTTCTACTGAATCCATCCAAGCATCCATGGACAGTTAAACCATATGGAGTTAGTTTATCCCAGCCATCAATATGCCATATATAGTTGCTCCCTTCAGATGTATATTGTCGCCTTTGTAAGCGTCTCGTTGATCGTTTGTGTACACCTTCTGGGTCAAGAACTGAGAGCAAACGGCGAATTGTTTCATGATCTGTTTTCAGCCTGCAATTCACAAAAGCTGTCATACTTTATTTTATGCCAGAAAAAGGGGAGATAAAATAGTGAAATACAGTATAATGGTAAAGAACTTTATGAGTATCTTATTGGGCGGGATGACAGGTACAAAACTGAGTTGACGGGAACAACTGAATTGATGGGTAACAGAAAATGAAACAACAGCACTCTGAGGTGACATATACCAGAAAATGAGATGACGAGGACCAAAAAGGGGAAAATACATGTACTGAGATTAAGATACGACACAACTTTTTTAACTTATGCCACAAGTGGCAACGGTTTCAAACGTCATGATGACATCTTTTTAATAATTGAGTTTGCCTTCAATGAAAACTAAGCGACAGGTACAGGTACTGAGATGACCTAGGTAACATGTATTGAGTACTGGTGTATGTTGAACTGACTTGATGGGCAGCATACAGTAGGTATTTTCAAGAAAAGTATTCAGTTGACGGCAGAATAGTTGCTGGCCTTAAAGTGATCTGATTGGCGGAATCACATTCCAGCCTATGCCTTCCCATACATGTACCTCATAAATGTGGGGCTGATTTTTCAAATCCAATCTCCACAATTTTACAATCGGGATTCGGGGTACCAGATACTATTCTCGATTCCGGAATCAGGACATTGATACTTCCCCGATGGTAAAATTGTGGAGATTGATCAATCAATTGACTTACCCATGGACTTTTGTGATTTTGCCATGCATACTCCGGTATCCCATTGCTGACCCACTGCCATGATCTATCTCTTGAATGATAGCGTCAGCAACTGTGCCAATGGCAGTTTTATCGAATTTTCTTGAGAGCCCCATCTTCTTTAAATCCCTCTTGATCTGTCTCTCCGAAAGTGTAATTCCATGACGGAACTTTAACAACATGCCGATCTCCTTGTACGTAAAACCGTCTTCAAAGTATGTGGCTATACATTCATCTCGATCTGACTCCATTTCTTCTTCGATTATAAGTCATGACACGCCGCATCTAGATTCTACAAAATCTCCTTTACAGAAGACTTTTGTAAAATTAAAATACTTATGCATTTTCAATATTAGTTTTGTAAAATTATTTTTTATTTTGCAAAATTATTTTTATAATTCTATACTTTTGGAAAATTATTTTGAAAATAATATTTTGAATTGCAAAAGTCCCATCGTATTTTATAAAACTATTTTTAAAATCTGTAAACTAATTTGATTTCTTTAAAGTAATCTAGGTATTTTTCCATAAATATAAAAAATAAATAAATTGAAAAATGAATTTCGAAATTAAAAAAATCAAATCCTGTTTCATTCAAGTTTTTAGATTTTAGATAAGTATTTTGTGATTTTTTATAAGTTTTTTAGATTTAAAACAGAAAAATCGATTTTTCATTTAATATTTTGATATATTACAAAACTAAAATTGTGTTTTATTAAAGTTTTTAGATTTTATATAAGTACTTTGTGAATTTTTATAAGTTTTTTTGAGATTTGAAAAATTAAAATTGATTTTTTTTTAATTTGAAAAATATGTCCCTTTTAAAGCTTCGTACATAATAGTCCAAGTTTCCAAATTTCAAAGTTTTGTCTATACACTAACTACTATGACTGATTCATATTGTATTTATTCTCAAAATCCCCTTCATTGTTGTAGAATAAAATGTAAACTGAATTTTACATATTGTCTACTTCATTGATGTTATGTATTTTACAAATTCCGTTCTGAATTGTTTGTGATGTTTCTGTCCACACGGCTCCATTAAAACATTTAAATTAACAAATGAACCCATTTTTAGAAAAATCCGTTTAAGCATACTGCTCAGACCAACATTCCTCTGACTTTGATACTATTATCAAATTTTTTTTCCACAAACCCTTTTCTTGGCTGCACATTGCTTTTCTGCACAGGAATATAGAGACAACTGGTGTTCTACAAAATCGCTCCTTCGCGAATTATTATGTCTAGTTTTATTTATTTTATTTTTTTTATTTATTTGCACACACTTTTACAGCAGTGGCACATGGGTCCTTAGGTCCCAGTGCGGCATATTACATATTAAAATTACATAATATAACATTCAAATTATAAAACAATCAATTCTAAAAGCATCAATCATGCATCTTATTTTTAATTTCATTTTATATCTAAAAAACGCTTTGTTTAGTTTTATCGTTAGCCTTAATAATGATGTTTTTCAGAATCACCTTTGTTATTTTATGCATGCTATTTTTTATCATGTAGGCCTAATACAGTAAAATTCACTGGTATTTCAATTCTCCATACAGTTAAAGCATTTGAATTCCTCCCCATCGGGGACACACGCATCACACTTTGTGTATCTTTCCCTCCTTGCTTGTGAACAGCCCCAACATTTTGAATTCAGCTTGTTCCTATTTCTTCCCAATCTACATCTTCTACAGAAATAGCCACACCATTCTGAAAATCCCAAATTTTAAGATGGAGAAGTAGTTTATTGTTTCCCGCTTAGTAGACTCTACTAAGGCTCTGTCGATACAAAAACTAACAGGAATTGATTTGAAACTCCTATCAGTATTGAGTTAATGATCCCTCCCAACCACAGAAAAATCATTACTTATAATTTTGTTTGCCGGCGTATTCTAAAGTACATAAGGTATCTTTACACAAATGGTATCATTTGAAACCTTAAGTCTATGATCCTCTTCATTCTTCGTCATTTTTTCTTAGTTTTCCCTGCATATTAGTTTATAATCTATGACATTAAACACAAACATGTAACTATAACTATTTTTGACAATTTTTGATCAACTTCCAGTTTTTAATTTTATATAGTTCAATTTATGTTCTACCATATTATAGTAAATATTATTTGCATGTACATCAAACAAGCCTAGTGAACATTTTCATGAACATGATAAGCTTTAAAAGTATACTATTTGTGCAAAGATATATTATTACTTTGGGATATTTCGGTTCATTTCAGAGTTTCCAGTCCATTTCTGTAACTCCTTTGTTGATAGAACGCTCGCCAATCACTAAAATGTGTATTTTGTCAATGTTTTATAGCAAAGCAAACATGTTTTTAAAGACGAGTTACATATAATATAAGGGTCAGGGTTGGAAGGGCAATTATTAACAGTTTTGCTGGCATCTCAAATAAAAAGGAGCTTTTATGATTTGGTGAGCTAAATTCAACATTTTTATCTTACTCGTGGGTGCTATATTGTAGGGATACGTGGGCAGGCTGGTGTCTTAACTTAATTTTATCAAAAATAAATATCTAAAAGGGATAGTCACCAAAAAAACAGAATGATCTTAAAATACACACGTTATTTTGTTTTTTAGGGTACTATAGTACTTCTTTTAAATTAAACTGACTTTCCTTGTATAACTACAATATCGTGGAAAATAAGTATATTGTGTGGCTGTCATTTTGTTCCAACGATAGAATAGAAGTACCATTTCATTCCAAACAAATGATAACAAGAACGAAAAAATGTCAGATGTTTTTACTAAAAATATTATATAAAAAATTGATATAAAAATATGTTTAAATTGAACTTTTATCATTTAGAAGATGACTATTACATTGAAGATGTTTTTCCAGATTTTTTTGACAAATGAATTAAGCTCACCAAATCATAATAAGCCCTTTATTCTCTTATAAACGTGGTTTATGTTTTAGCCCATGTACGATTCTTGATAATAATAGTGAAAATAAACATATTTTTATCTTACTTTTGGAACATTCAGATTGTGGCAATTTGCCGTAATAGCCGTCTTCTGGAAAACCTAAATGTTTTGATTCTGGTGTATAAGACCTACCCTCACTGCCTGATGCACCTATCTGAAATGTGAATGATATGCATGAACATCTCCTTACTAGGATAGGTATACCATTGGTCAACTCTATCGGACAAAGTCATTGCAAGGTTTTTATTTGACGTTTTAATGCATTTGAAGGCTGTCATGACCCTTGGCGACCCATGATTACGAGACCTCGGGTAAAAGGTAACTCCTACGTTAAATGTCAATATCTTAGTTTTTGGTGAATTAAGGTCCATTGAGCTGCTGTGACCCTTGGCGACAAATGATTACACGTGTAGGTAACATGAGTTCAAGGTCAATGTTTATGGCTCCAGGTCATCTCAAGGTCAACAGTCAATATCTAAGCATTTCACGTTTCATGGAGCTGCTGTGACCCTTGGCGAGCAATGATTAGATGACCTGAGGTCAAGGCCATCCCAAGGTCAAAGGTCAATATCGAGGTATTTAGCACTTTAAGACCCCGGGGGCTGCTGTAACCTTTTGCGATCCATGATTAGGCCACCTAAGAGGTCAAGGTCAACGTAATACTGTCTAAGAATATGAAACATGTTACACGACGTATTACTTTTTTTTCTAATCATCAGTCATTGCTTTTCAGTACAAACTTGCTTGATGCACATATACAGAGTTAGCCAAAACACCCCTAGCCAATAGACCTAATAAACATTCATTCTTTAACAAAAAAAACATCAATGGTGTATCATTTTAAAGATAAAGTAGTTTTATATGAAAATTGAGGTGTTTTAGGCTCCCATAATAGATCACTTCGTTGCAAATTATATTATCTTTAACATGATATATCATTCATGATTTTTTACTAAAAAAATAAATATTTATCAGGACTATTGGCTAGGGGATGTTTTTGGCCTAACCTGTATATAAGTTATTACCTTGATTGGAGTCCCATCCTCCTGCCAGTAGAAGAAATTATAAGCCCTGAAACTCTCTCCGTCGCGTATTGCAAAGTCTTGGCCTACAATGAACAACTTTGAAAGCATTTATTGTTGATCTTTAAATAAAATAATCGTTTCTTCACAAAGTCCATAAGACAAACTACTATTTTATAATAATGTTAAGGTAAATATAAGTGTAAGTTGTATTTCTGAGTTTGGTCTTTTGCTAGTTTCAGGCATCTGTCACAAATTGACAGATATGATTGTGTAAATTATTATACCATCAATGCCTGTGAAGCACACGTTGTCCAAATCTTTAATAAACTCTTCTCCAAATTCTATTCCAAATTCTTTACATATGGCCTTGGCGCCTCTTTTACATTTCTGTCTAAATCTCACAAGTGTAGCTTTACCAATCGCAAGAACGGCATTCAGAACCTGCATTACGAAAGTGTCTTGGCTATAGGCTGGAGCTTCTGTTATGATCATGTCTGTCGAACAGTTGGTATCACAATTGAACAGAGATTTGAAGTATGAGTCGGTGTAAACACTGCGGGGGGAGGATTGGCCAAATCTGTGGAAAAAGTAGACATTATTATTGAAGCATATATGCATTGAATATTGTAGTTTCTTGTTTACCATTTGGTGATTTCCTTACGGCCCTTACTGGCCCTGACTGGGTATAAATAATAAGGAAAATAATTGTAATTAGGTCACCATATAAATCAACAGAGAGTAGGACCAAAATTTGAGAGGACCACCTATCCTTTTACCCCAGGTTTGGCTGTTTAACCTCCCATTCACGGTGGTATGTATTATGAAGGCAGTTCCGCACAGGTGTGAAATCTTACCTAAGTTTTGACATATGCTCATCAAATAGTTTGACAGGTTCTCCATACAGGCCTACTGATATTGAGCCTTTTGCTGCTTTCTCATGACCTTTAACCAAACTTTCAGTTCTCCCCCAACCCTCTGTTCCAATAAATACAAGACCTACAAGTTATAGACATATGTATTGAAATTTGTAAAGGGTCTTAAACATCATGTGAATATGATTGTTGATTCATTCTTAATAGTGAGTAGGCCTATAAAATTCCATGATTCAGCAGCTGTCCGAGTAGCAACAACAAGAACATTATAAGCACTAGTAGTGGTGCAAAACTTATTGGAAGGACAGTCTGAGGGTGGGTATATTACCAGATTAATTTCAAATATGATAAATAAACTAACGTTTTCCCCTTTCATTTCCAAGATACTTTTCCTTGGCTTCTAGTAATGGTCTGATACTTGTGACTGCTGCCACATACAAAACTATATCAGTCTTTGAGGTGCTGTTTATGATGGCTGAAATTATTTGTTCATTGTTGTACCTCTTCTGTGAACTCTGAAAATAAGTAAATCTAGTCGGAGTTAGTCCAATCACGAAGTACCCTATTATCGCCCATATATTATTTTTTCAAAAATCCCAGGGGATCTCCTCCAGAGAATACGGTATAAACTTTGAAATATTATCAAATTCTGAAGAATTACTTGTTGAGGTAAATCCACATACTCGTAAAGTTAATGGCTTCCCATTGTAGGCGTGTACACCAATTCCGATGATTTACAAATAATTACACATAAGATTCAATCATATAATATTATATAGAAAAGAGATAAAAATATAATTAATTACTGTCATTTAGTGCAGGAGATTTAAAATATTGACAATTCTAGTTGGATTTTTATGGTACATATGCTGTCCTTAGCTGTCCTGGCAATTATAATACAATCTTTATACATGTCATTTGCATTTGGCAAGGAGGATATCCAAGGATCGAAACTCGATATTTTTCAACAATATAAACGTCGAAATGTCTTTATTTTCTGAAATTATAACCAACTATAAATTCAAATTAAACAGTTCAAAAGATTCTGACCAATATCTCGATCATTTCTTGTGAGTTTTGGAGTTTTTCGTTAGGATATAAGACAAATGTTGAAGTGAACAAAATGGCGCGCGGCTGTTTGAATTCTAATTTTGTATCACGACATGTCCATATATGAGACAATATCGATGTTGTACTCTGGGAGCCAATCCCCCTTGTGCATTCGGTGTAAAAAGAGTTAAAGTTACATTAGGTTGTAAAGGATCGCTTAATGCATGAATCCTGTATATCACAACATTTAACAAAATATAACACAGATTCTTAAGTTTTAATATTTGATACATGATAATTTAATATCTTGACACCATATTATATAGTAGAAATTGAAAACAGCCCAATATACCTCTTCGAAAAAACGCCATCTACTGTGGCATAAAAATTACGCCTTGCTCTAGACTTACATTTTCATTATCTCAATGAAATTCTCTATCCCGTAACCGGTAGACTGAGAGGTACCAGCTCTTTGGTAATCGGGATCGGGATACAAAATCAAAAGGTTTGTCATCTTTAATCATTCTGTAACGACCCTCACTCTGCATGGTAAGTGCAAAAGGTAGTGGTAGCGTTAAAGGGTTTATGAGTGAGTGGAAGAATCGTCACATTATTACCGGGTCCGTGTTGTGATTGTATATGCTCTCAAGGGTTTTACAGACATGACTGGTTGAATGGCAAAATGGCTGAATATGTCGCACTGCGACATAAAACATACACCTAACTGACAAAACAGATGATTTAGTTTAAATATAAATGACATAATTATGGGTTTATTTACAAAGTGATTATAAATTGAGTATAGTAATTATGACAATTACACACATAGTGTGGAAATATATATATATGAATAAAAGTTCTGATATTGTGATACCTGAATGATATATGGTGCAGCGTTACTCAATGGCAACGGGTACCCATATTCAAGGATAATGCACAAAGGTGGATCGTTATGCAACTAAGATCCCTGAAATGTGGTTACGATAATATACATAGTATTTCCTATCAAGTACAATACATACTCAAGTAAGATTACATAATTACCAAGAAGCTGATACTGCAATTACACATTATTGAGCTCATATTCATAAATCTTACATTAAACATATAATATACAATACTTTCATCTGGGAGAGTGTGTGACACAACTGGTGACCAAATAAACATACATAGCAATATGTATTACCATGACTTTGCAACAACCTTTGACAATGAGAACAACAACAAGTGACACCTTGGAGTGTACGACATGACGCAAAGAACCTAATTACAACCACTGACAAAATGTAAGACCGACTAGAAATATCAACGTAACATTACGCATTCACAAGCTTGGGTGAAACATACCAAATAATGACTATAACAATAACTTGGACAACATTTGATTCAACATACCAATTAGTGATAACAATGTTTACATGACTGCTCATTATGTAACATGCTAGGAAAATTAATGTCATATAACATGTGGGTGCAATCACATGACATGGATATACATGTCACGCAACAAGTGGGCGCCTGCTATGAAACATGCCGACGCGTGCTACATGACATATGGGTGCGATTACACATCATGTGGGTACATGCTATGTAACAAGTGGGTGCATTTTATGTAGTAAGTGATCAATCATGAACATGAGTAAAACTGTATACCCAAGTTGGTAGTAGTACATCACCAACTTATAATATTCCATGACACAACATAGGGGTGGGTGCAACAACTTGTATTCCCTTTGGTAATATTGGGTGCAACAAATTGTATCTCCCTAGGGTGGCTTTGGGGAAAGCCATACATGCATACAGTATATAAATTATAGCACGACCTTAACGCAACAATACAATAAAACCGACACTCCAACCATCGATAAACAATAGAACAGTTCAAGTTCAAAACTAGTATCAGGCTAGACCATAAACCAGGGTTCCAACAGGGTTTAACTCAACACCATCAGCTATCTGATACTAACTGTTGCCCAACAGTAAGACTTGAACTCCATAAGCCAACTTTACACAAGCGAGACATTACGTAACATACAACTCCACAGGGTAGTTTGCAGTGTACCAAAACATGATCAATTTGGGTATTGATCATCAACAATGAAGAAAACTGACATGATCAAACTGGGTATGTTGATCATCAACCATGTAAACCAAATATGGGTCAAATAATTCCAATGTGCTTTTGCATTAACAAGTCAAATCCAAATCCAAATGTAATACTTGCCAATTTGTCACACTCGATACATAGAGTGCTTACAGCTTGAAATGAGGGGTAGGGTGTCCATCCACATGAGGTATTTGCATCAGCATATGAGTGGTTGGTTGTTGGTGGTAGGTAGTTCGCCATTTGACAGACGTGCTGACATTTGCAAATCATGCGGGAGGGGTGAACCTCAAACTTCAAGCCTGATTTGGGGGTCAGACTTCGTGCAGATCCTGTTGTAATCACCTCATGTGGACGGACGACTTACTGGTGTAAATCGTGAGACAGTTTAGACACCTCGACGGTCAACAATAGCGACATTTTGAGTGAAGATAGCGGAGCAAATCACGAATGATTTACTCGAAAAACATAAGATGGCTACCTGTCTTCTGCGCATGCGCAGCGCCCTACATAAATTACGAACTTATGTAAATCCACAAAAACGGCCGTAACTTCGCCAATACGGGACCGATAGCAAAGTTTAAACTACTTATAGAGAGCTGAATTTACGTATTAAGTGCATATCCTACTAGATTAATGATAAAACATAGTAAACAGGGTGAAATTTAGACCAGAAAACTACGACAGTAACCTTGACCTTTTGACGTCAAAAGTACGAACGGAAATAAGAATAGTTCGAGAATTATGCCAAAAGTACGAACGGGACCAACAATATCCACAAATTACTAGAATAGGACACTTTAGTGGATAATAACGATCTAAACATGTATGCGAGTATATAAACAACATTAAGTGAAACCCAACAGTGGTGAGACATCGAACTGACATTACTGAATATCAGCAAACAAATAAGTAAATCTGTTGGGTTATCACACTACTCCCCCTTTTGAAAAGTGTTCGTCCTCGAACATGAGGCTGAATCGATAAAGGAGTCCCAACTGATATATATATAAATATGCTAAATACAACTTTACTTTACACTAATATTAAATTGTCCATCAGCAAAGGTGCTGGTTGATTATCACTAAAGCTGGGGACTCCGCTGTGTCCGCTGCTCCATCTGACATCGTTAGAGTTGGGGACTTCGCTGTGTCCGGGACAATCAATTCCTTTATCAAACTCAGCATCATAAGTTTATCACATGTGACGGACACATAGTGAGGTTGTCTTAATTCAGCTACTGCAGCACACTGAATAGATATACGCATAGAATAAAGTCTCAGTCCATTGATAGAAACATGAAGGCTCACCACAAACCAACATGACTACTGGAATAAGAACATTCTTACAACATGGATGTACATCATTACAAGTCATGAAGCCTTGCAAATAACATAGTCCATCTTCTAGAAAACTTCATGTGCTACAGGGTTATCTCTTTTTTCCAGGTCATCTAGGGTTATGACTCAACCATTAAACATGAAATCATGAAAACAGATAAGTTGGTTAGGGGCAACAAACCAACAAACTGTGATCATAACGGTGGTCACATATATGCCAGAATATGAGACCATAAGAGTCGTAACCCTACAACCTAATCCAGCTTATCAGGTTGTCCATTTAAATATCACACTTCATCTCACCTAATCACTCAAGCCCAACTCTGTTTTAGATGGTAACATACATACAGTTGGCGTCTTTTTACTTTTCATACTCAATCTGATGACCTGAGACTCCTGGCCATTGCTGGAGTAGACTAGTTATGTCGCAAAAAGGCATATTGGACACAACCAGTACTACAAACACCGGATCCATTGGCTCAAGCAACATGTTGCAAAAAGGTAGCTGCTTACTTTTTACAAATTTCTTCTAGGCTAACCGGAACCATTTTTAGAGACATTATGAGTTGCCTGTCGAGCATGACAACACAAACTTCTCTACTACTAGATATAGTAACAATGACGGCCCAGAACTCAAACCGTGAACTGAACCAGGCAAGTGGTGAGATGCAATGAGGTGAATAACAACTGTGTGAGGAACCTCTTCAGCTGGTTTGCAGAAGAAGTTACCTGTAAATACAGCTTACTCCACTAGGTAGGAACACTGGTCTGTGGCCCACCGTTGGAGTTGTCACTCTAGGTCAGTACGTACGGTATGACCAAGACATCACAACTAACCACATGTCCAGCACAAGAACACAAAAAGAGCACAGAGAAGGCATTGTCACGATAAGGAAATTGGTATTTTTCCTTAAAACACATTTACGGGTCACACACCTCCCAGTTGAACTAAGTCGCAAAAGTTATCAATATGACAACCTTAAGAGTGGTTTGAGTAATGTAACTGTCAGCTTTATTCCTGACATAATAAATGAGTGTCCCAATGCATTTTTGAGTTGATGCACTGAGGAACACATTTTGAACAATTTTTTGGAAACTGTTATGTAACACTTATATTGCCATATACATAGTTTCTGCCGTTGCGGGTCACAGCATTGAAAGAGAGCCAATCACAACTGATTATATCCCACCGCTGCCACCAAAATGTAACGACCCTCACTCTGCATGGTAAGTGCAAAAGGTAGTGGTAGCGTTAAAGGGTTTATGAGTGAGTGGAAGAATCGTCACATTATTACCGGGTCCGTGTTGTGATTGTATATGCTCTCAAGGGTTTTACAGACATGACTGGTTGAATGGCAAAATGGCTGAATATGTCGCACTGCGACATAAAACATACACCTAACTGACAAAACAGATGATTTAGTTTAAATATAAATGACATAATTATGGGTTTATTTACAAAGTGATTATAAATTGAGTATAGTAATTATGACAATTACACACATAGTGTGGAAATATATATATATGAATAAAAGTTCTGATATTGTGATACCTGAATGATATATGGTGCAGCGTTACTCAATGGCAACGGGTACCCATATTCAAGGATAATGCACAAAGGTGGATCGTTATGCAACTAAGATCCCTGAAATGTGGTTACGATAATATACATAGTATTTCCTATCAAGTACAATACATACTCAAGTAAGATTACATAATTACCAAGAAGCTGATACTGCAATTACACATTATTGAGCTCATATTCATAAATCTTACATTAAACATATAATATACAATACTTTCATCTGGGAGAGTGTGTGACACAACTGGTGACCAAATAAACATACATAGCAATATGTATTACCATGACTTTGCAACAACCTTTGACAATGAGAACAACAACAAGTGACACCTTGGAGTGTACGACATGACGCAAAGAACCTAATTACAACCACTGACAAAATGTAAGACCGACTAGAAATATCAACGTAACATTACGCATTCACAAGCTTGGGTGAAACATACCAAATAATGACTATAACAATAACTTGGACAACATTTGATTCAACATACCAATTAGTGATAACAATGTTTACATGACTGCTCATTATGTAACATGCTAGGAAAATTAATGTCATATAACATGTGGGTGCAATCACATGACATGGATATACATGTCACGCAACAAGTGGGCGCCTGCTATGAAACATGCCGACGCGTGCTACATGACATATGGGTGCGATTACACATCATGTGGGTACATGCTATGTAACAAGTGGGTGCATGTTATGTAGTAAGTGATCAATCATGAACATGAGTAAAACTGTATACCCAAGTTGGTAGTAGTACATCACCAACTTATAATATTCCATGACACAACATAGGGGTGGGTGCAACAACTTGTATTCCCTTTGGTAATATTGGGTGCAACAAATTGTATCTCCCTAGGGTGGCTTTGGGGAAAGCCATACATGCATACAGTATATAAATTATAGCACGATCTTAACGCAACAATACAATAAAACCGACACTCCAACCATCGATAAACAATAGAACAGTTCAAGTTCAAAACTAGTATCAGGCTAGACCATAAACCAGGGTTCCAACAGGGTTTAACTCAACACCATCAGCTATCTGATACTAACTGTTGCCCAACAGTAAGACTTGAACTCCATAAGCCAACTTTACACAAGCGAGACATTACGTAACATACAACTCCACAGGGTAGTTTGCAGTGTACCAAAACATGATCAATTTGGGTATTGATCATCAACAATGAAGAAAACTGACATGATCAAACTGGGTATGTTGATCATCAACCATGTAAACCAAATATGGGTCAAATAATTCCAATGTGCTTTTGCATTAACAAGTCAAATCCAAATCCAAATGTAATACTTGCCAATTTGTCACACTCGATACATAGAGTGCTTACAGCTTGAAATGAGGGGTAGGGTGTCCATCCACATGAGGTATTTGCATCAGCATATGAGTGGTTGGTTGTTGGTGGTAGGTAGTTCGCCATTTGACAGACGTGCTGACATTTGCAAATCATGCGGGAGGGGTGAACCTCAAACTTCAAGCCTGATTTGGGGGTCAGACTTCGTGCAGATCCTGTTGTAATCACCTCATGTGGACGGACGACTTACTGGTGTAAATCGTGAGACAGTTTAGACACCTCGACGGTCAACAATAGCGACATTTTGAGTGAAGATAGCGGAGCAAATCACGAATGATTTACTCGAAAAACATAAGATGGCTACCTGTCTTCTGCGCATGCGCAGCGCCCTACATAAATTACGAACTTATGTAAATCCACAAAAACGGCCGTAACTTCGCCAATACGGGACCGATAGCAAAGTTTAAACTACTTATAGAGAGCTGAATTTACGTATTAAGTGCATATCCTACTAGATTAATGATAAAACATAGTAAACAGGGTGAAATTTAGACCAGAAAACTACGACAGTAACCTTGACCTTTTGACGTCAAAAGTACGAACGGAAATAAGAATAGTTCGAGAATTATGCCAAAAGTACGAACGGGACCAACAATATCCACAAATTACTAGAATAGGACACTTTAGTGGATAATAACGATCTAAACATGTATGCGAGTATATAAACAACATTAAGTGAAACCCAACAGTGGTGAGACATCGAACTGACATTACTGAATATCAGCAAACAAATAAGTAAATCTGTTGGGTTATCACAATTCTTCTTGTAAAGTAAACTTTTCCAGGATGGACCTTAAATCTCCATCAATTTGCATAACTAAAGACAATGTGCAGCATTTCTTGCTTGCTATATCTGGACATCGGTTCAAGTCTGTTGTCATCAGCATATGATGGGACAACACAGTTTATCCCCCAGACCTGACAGCCATGGTCAGAACTCCCTACTGTAGTTCTAATAACAAGGGGTTCATAAACCTTACATATAATCCCATAGAGAGAACCCCACATTTGTTGAGTTCGTATTGAACATATAATAAATCAAATATACCAATGACTTGAACACACTTTTAAACAAAGAAACGAGAAGAATTCTGTAGAAACTACCAAGTGAATTTATTTTGCTGCGCTTTATTATTAAGTTTAATTATCAAGGACTGGAAAAATACCAAGGGACTATTAGAAAGCCTTTAAAATGAACATACAGAACTACCTACTATAACATCCAGATAAATCTTACTTACATTTAGCATGTGAGTAGAGGATATGCATCTCCCCTGTTCTCCCTTTTCAAATGCTGCTTTGAATGCATTTGCCAAATCCCTGGCATACGATAAATCATCCTCAATTATTACATGAACATTGGGCCAACCAAGACTCGTGAATAATGCTGCAAACGCAGGCCCCTGCGAGAACATAATATAAATAAATGATGATGTGCAGGACCCTTAGATAAAAGCACGCATTTACATTTTTCATAAGAGGGGAATAATCCGAGGGCTCGAAGACAGTCTATAATACCAGAAAAACGGCAACCCCACGGAGTAGCAAATCCCACTTAACAAAACATATTTAATTTATTTCAATTATTATTTATTTAATTAATTTGATAATTAGTGGTCATCTTGAATTTCCTTCTTGAGCAGAGCTTGTTTTTCCCTAAGCATCAACATATAAAAAAAGCCATATCCGTCAATTATATTCGTCAATTAGCATTTGGGTTATCAAAGATTACATTCCTTTTTTACAAAATATGGCAGCCATTTTGAAATTCAGCCACCATTTTAAAAATATGATAAGGCCTCGAAGCCCCTCCTTAAATGGTGGTTGCATCTACCATTGGGTCTACATCTACCATTGGGTCTAATCATTTTTAAAATCCTAGTCAATTTGTGATAAAGAAATGTAACAAATCTAGATGTATGACATGTCCAATACTCAATACTTCAAAAATATTTAAATCATCGTTCAATGGAAATTAATATCCCATTGAGTCTGTTGTAGATTTGACATGTTCTACCATAAATGTCATTTATCTGGTAACTTGTAAAAGGTGTAGTTTTCAGTATGTGGGTAAAACGGAAGACCCTCTTCATGTCCGTATGAATGTTCACATGGCTAACATTCGTAACAGAAATAAATTAGTCGGTGAACATTTGAATGGGAATGGACATTTCCAATCTGATTTTTCTGTCCAAATAATCGACAAAATCTTTCCAATTCAAGGTGAAACCGAATAAGTCTATACACTATTTGAGGACTAAATTTTTTCTTGTCCCTTTCGAGACTACATGAAATACTTGAAAATTCTAAAAAAGCCTTTTCAGAAAACAAAATTCCTCAAAAATTGCATTGTATTATTGTTGACCTGGGAACTAGAAAGCTATATCTTCCAACTTTTACATCCAAAGAAACTAAACCTAAAAGGTTTATTAAAATATTTTTTCATAATAAAGGTATTGAACATATTAACTTATCCAGAGTGTTACATGACAAGAATGTAACTAGTAAGATACCTGCTTATTTTGAATATCAAGAGGTACCATCAATATCATATAAATACACTGATACAATCGCTAGGAAAATCTTTAATTACAACAAAACTGTATCAGATTTTGACCACACTGACTTTGATGAAATGACTTGTTATTGTGAAGATTCCCACTTTAAGTATGAGCCCCATAATCATGTCATAACAGGTAACTTAGACATAATATCTGATAGTAAACTTAGAAATTTAATCAAGAAAGGCCCTAAATTTCGTGAATCCAATCCAATTTTATGGCGTTATGATAAAAAAATTATTTTTGAAGCAGTTGAAAAATATGCTCAAGGGTTGAAAAAAGAGCATGCTGATATTTCTGCATTAGATGAACGGGTATTTGAAATTAAGGATATCGTAAATAGAAGAATTATAAAACTTAAAAGTCAAAATACTGAAAGTCCAGTAAAGTTTTAGATGATCCAAAAGTTATTGAATATTTGGAAGAATTCCATAAAAAGTTTGTATTGGTCCCTGCAGATAAAGCTGCTAATAATGTAATAGTGATTAAAGTAGATTTGTTCAAGAAAGAATTTACAAGATGGCAGATGAATTTCAAAATGACCACCATTTTTTATTTAAAAAAACGTAATCTTTGGTAACTCAAATACAAGTGGACAGATTTGGTTCAAATTTTATATGCTGTTGCCTAGGAATGAATAAAGAAGCTACGCTAAAGAAGAGATTTTTAGAATGACTTAAAGATTTTTCCTTGCATATATAGACCAAAAAGTCGGATTTTAATTTAGCACATTTTTGGCTCTGTAGCACAATTTTAATTTTTGTGATAAGACCAGTTTTCCTATATATCTATCATCTCTGAGGCTCTGGGGTTTCCCTCCTCTTCTTCTTCATCATCTACGCCAATAGTTTTTTGGTATAGCATCGAAGCATGCTATTTTACTCAGATTATCAAGTTAATAATTGGGGTCGCCCATTGGTCCAAAACTCAATCATCCGAATTCGGTTGGTTCAAATCTCGATGGTCCGAATCCTAATGATCCGGATCCAATTGGTCCAAATCCCATTGGGTCGAATCCTAATCGTCCGAATCCAATTCGTCAGAATCTCTTTTTTCTGAATCCCATTCGTCCGAAACCCTATGATCTGAACATTGTAATCAATAGCACTGCCACGAAGTATGATTAATTTATAGCCGTCCAGTTAAATTACCCACCAACAAAATATGTCAGATAAAGAATAAGGCCCCAGCCTAGGTTTAACGTTGCTGAAGCATCTGTCTGTCTGTCCTGACATCTCCTCCTACACCGTTTGACCTTAGGCCCTCATACTTTGTCAACATACTAAGTGGGTCGGTGGGCATTCTACGAAGGTCTGAGGTCAATGTCATTCCAAGGTAAAAGGTTAATATTTATGTATTTGGCTTTTTATGATATTTGGACTGTCCTGTGACCCTTGACGACCAATGATAAGGTGTCTGAGGTCAAGGTTAACTTTATGGGTCAAAGTCATTCCAAGGTCAAAGGCCAATGTCTTGGTATTCGGTGTTTTAATGAATTTGGGAGCTGTTGTGACCCTTGGCGACCCATGATTAGGTGACCTGTCAAAGGTCAATATCTAGGTATTTGGTGATTTAAGGACCAATGAGATTCAGACCATTGGTATTTGAATCAGAATTCACTCTGTATAATATTTCTTGTATTACTGCATAGTTCTTGTTCTACTGCAACCGATGGCCTTACAATGTATATATCTAGCCACTATTTAACAATGCAGATCATTGAATGAATAACTCAAATATATTCTCACCTGTCTACTGTCCGATGGTACAGTTCTGACAACATATGGGAACCTAGTTCTGTCACTTAATTGAGGGCTTGTAGCAAATGGAGCCACTAAAACTGTCTTTACGGTCTTCAAATATTCTGCAACTTTCATAGTTCTATCACTGGTTTCAGATCCAACAAATCCAACAACCCTATCTGGGTCAATACGGGCACCAGTTGAATCACTGACCAACAGAACACCTTCGTAAAAGTCTTTAGTAATTTGCAATCCATGTTCTGCTGATGAACAGTCATCCAAGAAAATTGCTCCGATTCTGACACCTACCAACTGACCGTGATTCCTATATACATATTCAAGACCAAGGTCAACAGCTTCCATATACTGGAAAGGATATAATCTCATATCTTTGCAACCATTCTCTGTTAGACCAAACATTACCAAGATGTACAAATCACCATCTATGACAACGTGGGAAGGATTAGGTGGAGTGTCAGCAAAGGTCAAGGCCAAAATAGCCAATACTTTCATGAGAGCGTACATCATTATCATTTTCCTATTAGAGAAATAAAAATAAGATTACTATTAACATGTGGTAAATATAAAAGCTGTAATTAGGTACATACATCTCAATATACATTTATGATGTTTCAATAAGATATCTACCGATTCATAGCAATGGTGCATTTTGGAAGTGTAAATATCATGTCTTTCATTTAAATGTTTATTTCTTATTCACACTCAACGTACTGCTAAATGAAGCAAAACCAATATCACTCTACTATACCTTGCATTTGGCTTTCATGAGCAACCCATTTGGCTTATTAGTAATGATTATATATTTGTTTTTATTTGTCTGTTCCTTATTAATGGTTTATCGGTTGAAAGTTACATGTTGATAAGGTACTTTCAAAAATATACTAAACAATCCAATGGGCTTCAGGACTGTCAATAGATGGCATAAAATTCAGTAGGTTTAATAGCATACTTTAACATGTAAAAAATGTTCCAAAAATCCCCAAATTAAATGTTATTGAAAATATCCAAAACTTCTAATTTTGAATCTTAAAACATGTTTGTAAATAATGATGAAGGAAAATATGATATTTATTTGATATATAGAGAGAATTTGAAGTTTCAAAACAGCAATATTTACACATAAACCAATGGGCCAGTTATGGAGGACAACCTAGTAGTTAACTGCCATCTATACGAGTCCTGGCTCCCATTAGACAAACAAAGTATCTTATGCATTTCTAGGTATTAGGTATCGTAGTGTCAAAGAATAGGCAAAATAAGCTTTCCAATTATGTGCTGAATGTGTGACTAGCTATTCTAGATTATTTCAAAAACTACTTTTATATGTAGTGCTGCCAATTTGCAACAAATATTTTGTCATCTTTTATTACAGTTTGATGTACTACACTTAAACCTCAGTTTTTTGCCGCTTGGACCAAGGTGGATTTCTCCCTACCAACCACACCATGTAGGGTTATTTTTTCAATTTTTCTTGCATAATTAAAATTCAACGTTTGAGGTATCTTAACGAGTGGCAATTTTTGTTATTAGGATTCGAATCTGCAATCAGAATTAAAACATCAGATACAGATTGGAATAAAATGAAATAACTGATAGCCTAATAATGAAGAGGACATCTTAATCTAACTTAATTCAACATTTGGACATTCAACTGACAAGGGCAAATCTATGTTTCTTTATTTTTGCAGTCACTTCACTTCAATAGTTTACTTTGGAACTTAGCATACAGATAGCGAAGAATATGGTGAGAGTGCCTTTTTCCGTCAGTAGGTATTTTGACCCAGTTTTGGGATGTCCGTGTCAAGTTAACGATATTAGTATAAATTTTATAAGGATTCTGAATCTAAAATTAGAATTGAAATCCGACTTCCGGTTCAGCGTCTTTGACTTAATGAAATTTCAAAAAAATAATTCGTGATATAATGGCACGGCTGATGGGATATTTCAAAAAATCGAATGCTGTATGGTCCAGGCGGCTAATTAAACAATCCTATGTCTCAGTCCCCCAATGTATCATTTAATTCTTTCATCGAGGTAATTAGAAAATACAGAATGACATGTCTAGTGATGTGCTGTGTGCATGGATAGTCATTTTAAAAAGTAATAATCATTTCAAAAACTATATTTATTCCATAGTAAGCATGATATTCATAGGATAACATGTCAAAATAAAAACTGTATTTTTGTAATCAGTGGTATAATATGATATTTTTGACAAATTTTCACTTAACCATAGCATACGGTGTTTTAGCCATGACATACGGCACCGTGTGCTATGAATTATGTTTTTTGCTACTTCAGACTCAAAACGAGGCTAGGTGTCAACATCGCCAGATCCGGTTTGGAAAATTTGAATTAAATCACTAAATTTCCGACGATTTTGATGGTGACTTTAACTATGGAATAAAAAGAACATCCTATGATTTACTCGTAATATGATTTTAATCAACTCATGGATATTGATATCTGCACTCTCTCGCTACGCTCGCTCGTGCAGTTATCATATCCATTCGTGGATAAAAATCATATCACTCATAAATCATAGGATATCCTCTATATACTCGTAATACTGGCAGTCCTCATAAAATATTTTGTCATCTATTATTACAGTTCTATGTCCCCGAAGGTTTATATAAAGCCTTTTGTATAAAAAATAGATTAGACACTTAGACATGCTCCATATACAATTAAGCTATTCAATAGTTTCCAGCATACTTTCACAATTCTCCTGACACTGATCAGCTTTACCTGTTTTTCCTGTAAAATATAAATTGCTGACCTGTCTTGCGTTCCCGACCTATTTAAGTCCTTTTGAAAAAACCTCTCGATATGATTATCCTCCTCTAGATGTATAATAATCTACCCAGGATGTACATATTGACATACACAGGATGGGCCAAAAAATGTGAACTTTTTCATCATGCATAATTTTCGATAGACTCACTTTGAAATTGTTCCTGAAATGGGATAAATGAATCTTCAGGGGTTTTGGATAAGAAATACAGATATCAAGGTTATGATGAATGTAACACAAAAGTACCATACATATTTCAGCTTGTAAGAGAGACATACAGGTTAAGGTGTTCATTGTAATCTCAAAGTCAAAAATGGAATATTTGAAATATCATATGAAATCCTATTATATGAGAGGTTATCATTCTATGCTGCACGTTTGTGAAATTTTCATTAGAATATATTGAAAATAAAGAAATTAGAGAGATATTATGAGAACTTTATGATAACCCCTCATACACTATGCCAAATGAGTAAAATGAAAGAAAAAGATTCAGCATCAAGAAAATAAGTGACTGGAGAAATCTGTATAAGGAAGACTATTCTGAGATAATATTGGTGGCAAGGAAGATACGTAACGCGCTAGATTAAGCCTACAAATGATAGAACTTGTTATTTATATTTATAAATAGTAGAGTTATATTCATCAAACATTACCTATAAATCATATAAGCCATATATAATTGATTGCCGCATCCCTTGCAAAATTGACTTGTGTTGGATTTCAAGCCTATTTAAACGAAGGTCTCAGACTGGAAAATATTTTTGATGAGTGATTGTATGTGTGTGGTATGCATGATTGAATGAATGTCGTGTGAGTGGAATGGGTCTGTGTGTCGAATTTGGTATTCTTTGTATTTCTATTTCATTTGTAAAAACGGCTTACAGCAAATCACTTGTATCCTTGTATCCTTGTGTAGTGAAAATGTATATTGAGAAAAAAAAAAAAAAAAAAAATTGATACTAAAATCCATGTGTTTGTAAAAAAATAAACTACAAAATGTATGTTTTCAGGACCACCCAGTAGAATATTAAATAATAGGACTAGTAGTATGCAATGATATTTTATTGACATTGTAATATTTTAGTCATGTTTGTTTCTATGCTTCATCTACTTTTAGACAGATGAATTGCAAATGAATTAATTCAACTATCATGTATGTCAATGGGTTATCAAATGAGTAATAATGAAGTGTCAAGCATTCTGCACTTCCAGAAAAAAATTATCATTGATTTTGCAACATTAGACAACCCAAAATCTGACCTGATATTATCTCCAAGCGATCATTCCGTGCTTTCACCAAAATTCAAGATGGCCACCAAAAATTTATATGGTGATATCCTGATAAAAAATCAAGAGTTTTGAAGACAATAATATCAGGTACTGTCCATTTGTCAGACTGTTTTTTAAACAAGAAAAACTAGAAAAACGAGTTATTCAAAACAACAACCATAAAAATCTTGAGTAGACAAATTCGTACAGTCAATTAAGGAACTGTATCTGGATCCTTAAAAATTGAGTCAAATTTGTATCTAGGTGAATTGTGTCTCGGATGATGGGAAATTGGGTCAACCTTTTTTATCAAGAACTAGGTCAAATCTTGAGTTTTCACTATTTGACCTGTTTCCTCGATTGTCCTTTAGTATTTTCTTGGTCTTTTTCATCTTGTTCATTGTCAACAAAACAAAGCTAATTCCGAAAGGCAAGTCGGGTTTTTATTTCTCTTACCGTGTTTGAGATATCAGTGTCCAAATAGAAGGTCATCAAAAAAGTTCTCCAAATTTGAAAATTCAAATCCATCTTGTATGTTCTGAAAATGCTCCATTGTAATAGAGATTAACTGAAGAATTGTGATGAGAGTTTTATGGGTAATTGTTATACAATGAATTCATAACAATGCTTGTGTTGAGAACAGTATTTCACAATGCTGACAGCCCAAGATTTATTAGGTACATCCTGAGGTCAGTTCTGTTTATAAACATGCTCCTGATATGACTGGATCTAAATATGTAAATCAGCTTTCCTGTAATCAATTATAGCCAGGTGCATGACGAAGGTCCAACGTTTGTCTGTTCTTGCATTATCCTGACAATGACATCATTTCTATCTTTAGAACTCTATGTAATAAGTAACCAATCAGAGTCAATGATGAGATGCGTTTTGTTAACGTTTCAAATGGTATATAAGTTGTGAATGAATGTAAGATCAGGGTGAAGAAAATGATAGGGGAAAGATGGTGGGAAGATAGTGGAAAAGAATCTGAAAACTTACAATCGTCATGATGTCGGAAAATAAGTCAAGGAGCCGAGGAAAGGAAATGGAGAAAACTAGGTAAACGAGGATGCCAAATTTAACATTGGTCTGACAGAGTAAACGAAAGTGAAATGGTTTAACGTACATATTATTGTTCACATGTTCACAGTTGATTAAAGGTTACACATTAATAAAGTAATTGTATTATGTAACTTACATTCGTTATTCATATTTGCGAGTACGGTAAGACTAGACGATCTAAATATCTCTCACAGCCAAGCATTTTCATGTCACAGCCAAGCATTTTCATGTCACAGCCAAGCATTTCGTATTATACAGCCAAACAATTTAAACATTAAATTAATCATTATTAGGTGGCAAAAACCACGTATAACACTTGGTGCAGCTGCCTTGTTTTCTAGTCTTATCAAGAAAGCAATTTGAATAGAAAATAATAAGTGAACAAA